CCGTTATCGCTCAGCGAGTCGCCCCGGCCCGAGTCCCTGGAGGAGTTCTTCCTCAGACGTCTCTTCACCTTGGCCTTGAGTCTTGCCTCATGGATGCTGCCGGTGGGGGCCAATATCCAGTTTCCATTGATTTCATTATCAACGTTTCCAGTGAAGGTGTTGTCCTCGTCCCCGGAGGGGAAGGAATCTCTGAGATCTCCAGCCTCTGTGGTTGACAAAAGTGTTTGGAACCATTTATATATGTGAATATGCGTATCATATGTAATATCAGACTAAACATACATTTTAAAACAGCATTGGCACTAGAGACCAAAGTTTGGGCCACTTATACATATATTTGAGAGAGTAAAAACAAGTGATAGGCTTGACCTTGGCAACTTTCCACAGACTTATCATATCACATACCAAATATGAGGGCAAACAATTCTCAAACACTGACCTAGAAATATTTACTGTGATATAAAATACCTAAATATCGCAGTAAAAATCAACTTGAACTTACCAACAGGGTTTGCATTCAGCCATGCCTCACAGTCAGTTGCCATGGTAAAAATCAGAGAATTAAGTTTTACAGGGTATAAAATGTGCCTTTGCACCTAGAATGCAGAAATATAAACGTTAATATGCAAGTTTCTTTGTGAAGCAAAAATAAATGAATAAATGAGAACATGCAGCTGCTCCAATCAGCAGCGTCCATTTGGCTCCAACACAAGCCTGATACGATGAATGTATCGCATTACCATACAGACAGAAGACCTGCAGTCTCCAAAATCAAGTGTTTTGGCTGAGGAATACTTCGTTTTTGTACCAACGGTCATTAATGTGTCTATGGTTTGATGTAGAGCACGCATTTAATGTAACGTTATGCATTTAAGTGCACGAGCGCAACATAAACAAAGCCTCGGGACTAGCAGCGAACAAACGCCGTTTTGTCTTTATTTGACACAGTGTCTAAAATAAAGCCTTCGAAAGTCTTAAGTATCGCAAAATACATTGCTTTAAAACAACATCCAGTCGATAAGGAACAAATCCCACTAACCTGCTTTATTGCGTAGTCCCAAATTCGAGCTTCGTTGATGTTTATTTTGTGTTCTCTGCCCAGCAACTCGATAGCGTAATGCTGTCCTGCGAGCTCTCTGATTGGTTAGAAAAATAGAGGCGGATGACAAAGTGACCAATGAAAATGGAGTTCAGATTTAGCCTGCCTTTCTCGTATTTTCTATGAGGTCTTCGGTGAAGATCGTGACTTTCCGCCGCCCTGCGATGGACGCTGGAACAGAACAATGTAATAGATAGTAGTGCATGGGTGAGGATGAAGTCCCTCTCTCTTGTTATATTATTAAACTGGCACATTTTTATTTTTTATTTTTTTAAGTTGATGGTTAAAAAAAGATGCAGGGGTTATTTCATAATGTACAGGCCCAGACATGTCATTCAGGGCCACCATGGGACACTTTATTTAATTATTTGTTTCACATAAACATCAGGCAACCTTATTTTCCAAAATGTTTATTTCATATTTGCATCAAAGCTACCCAAAATATTTATACATACTTTTCTTCCATAAAATGCTGTGCTATTATTAACAGAATATAAAACAGAAAGTTTTCCAGAACCATTCCAATTATATACTAGCATTATAACACTCAGCGTTTTATAAATTTGATATCAGTTAAATAAACATGGTCCAGTTCAAGTATTCCTAAAGTCTGAGCTCTGTGTACAGCAATGATGAAAAACAAAAACAAAATAGTATGGCAGACATTATACAGAAGCAGCTTTCCATGGTGTTCAGCTGATTTTTAAACATTTGGGGCTTTTAATACATTATAAGGCACTTTGAAAAGTGAATATTTCAAGCATGAAACAGATTCAAGATTTGAAGACTGACAAAAATGATCACAGAAAATGCAATTCAGACAGAAACAAAATAATAATAATTTAAAAAGCATCAACAGAATATTCACAAGTATTGACCTGAGGATATTTTTACACCTCTTTAAATTTAAATAGAAATTTAAATTAGGCACTTCTTCAGTGAAGTTTATATTTGTCCACCACTGAAAAAAATCAACATATATGCCAGCTTTAAAGTATGGCAGATGCAGATGATGTAAACACTACACTTACCAGTGCCTTTCACATTCTGATACATATTTTTCACAGTGTAATAAAAATTCCATGCTGGACTACAGAGGACACACACTGCATTGTGTCCTGCGAATAAGGACAGGGCACTTAGAGTTCACAGAAAACTGAAAATTGTCATAATTTACTCTCCCTCATTTTTAAAACCTGTATGAGTGATTTTTTTTCCCCGTGGAATACAAATGAAGATATTTTGCAGAGCATTCCTGCTGCTCTTTTCCATACAATGAAAGTGAATGGGGACTGGGGCTGTCAAGCACACATGACATGCTGGATAAAAAGATATTGTGGTCACAAATTAAGAATTAGTTCCCGTGACTTAATTCTTTTCTTCATTTTAAGTAAATCATGGCCATGTTGTACTAATTTCTTTTTGTGTTATATTAGTATATTGATATACTAAGTTATATCGTTTTTGTAAATAATTTGAATTAGATTGAATTTTTATATTTTCTGTTTTAATTTGAGCTCATTCTAGTAATTTTGTTGTGTTTTGTCATTTTGTTCGTTTTTTTGTCTATATAGTTTTTATTATTTGTTATTTTTTAGTTTTAGTTTATTTAGTTTGAGTTATTTTAGTACTTCAAGTTAAACTAAACAAAAATCAGATATGCTGCCTTAGCAACTAGCTGAAATAAAATAAGTTTATATAAATACAATTATTTATAGACGTAAAATTATTTCAGTTAGCATTTGTTTCAAGTTACAAACATGTGGTTTTAGTTTGCGACAATAACCTTATTATTTCCCTCATTTTAGTTGAAACTAAAATAAAACAGAAAATGAATAAGTACAACATAGCCATAATGTCTAATTTTCTTTCGCATCTCATGTGCAGGGCTCCGAGGTCTAAAAACTACATTTATTTTTATATTTTCAGTTTGTTTCTTGCACTAAGCTAACGTATGGCTTCGGAAAACTTGGAATATAGTGCACATGACGCATGGACTACTTTTATGGTGCTTTTTAAATTTTGGAACCACGGTCCACCTTCAATTCCACTGTACAGAAAAATAACAGCATAAACATTCTGAAAAATGCTTTGTATTTCACTGACAAAAAAGGTAATATGTGTTTGGAATTTACATTTTTCAGTGAACTATTCCTTTAAAATCTATGATATTTAATAAGCCTTTTTTTTAAATCCCTGAAAACTTTCATACAGTTTGTCTTGCTATGAGCCCAAGTACACAAATGATCAAATTGCAGTTTTTCTTGTGTCCTTTTCCATCCTCGTTGTCTTTGTTTTGTGTCTCTCAGCATTCAGCATGTCATGAGCTTCATTCAGTGTTTGGCGACTCCGTGTGGAATTTTAAGAGACTTTCCTCCGCCAGCTGCGACAGATACTTCTATAAAAACACAAACAATCCTCTGTTAAATTACACAAATTACTATTTACTTTTAAATTACAGGCATACGAACAGCTATAACGCCTTGAAGAGCAACAGTTTGGTTTCTCTGACTAAAATGGCTGACTGACAGCATCTGTTATGACTGTTATACTCAAGAAAGTTCAAGCTACATTGAGATATCGCGTGTTTCTGGGCTCTTTTGTCTTAGAAACTAAACACTATCAAAACATACATTTTTTAAACCCATTAGTTTATTTAATTTTAGCACTAACAATGTTTACCTGTGGATAAAATGGGTGACACTTTGTCTTACTAAGGCTAATTTCATAGCTGGCTTTTTAAATAACCTAAATGCACACAGTTAAATAATCTAGTCACACTTTTTTGCATATTTTGACTAAACTACATGATAGTACTTTCATATTTTAAAGTTGCAAAGTAATTTTGCAATCATGGTCGACTGGACTTGCTGTTGAGGTCTGTTTTAATGACATAAGAGATGAAGAAACTCCCGTTTATGTGCATCCTTCCAAAAAGCATATTTGTTTACCAGTGAAACAAGGAACAAGTTGAAACAGAAGAAGGTCAAAATGTGGGAGGAAAGCAGGTGTTTCCTGTAGTGTTTACAGTCTCTCTCTCTCTCTCTCTCTCTTGCTCTCTCTGTCTTGGTTTCACCTGTCTTGCTCTTCTGGTGTTAAATTCAGCTGTCACCTTCTCACTGTAGTTCTTGTAAACTCAACACAGCTGGCAGACCTCAAGGCGGAGAAGTGAAGTATGAGGTGACGCTCTTTGGCCGATCGCTCTAGTCTGAGAGACACGACAACTGGTTGTGGTCTGACTGTGATGACGGGGAATGTCCGGCTATGTTGTGTTGGAAAGTGTGTTTGTCTGTCTGTATGTGTGTGTATCTGAAGGGTTATAATGAGAAACTATATCCCACCCTGAGGACTGGGTTTCTTAGATCAGTCAATCTTACATTGCAGTCACCAGTGGTGGCGAGTAACTAAGTAAGCCTTTTCAGTAACAAGCTTCTATTTCCAATAAGTAGCAGTGTAGCATGGCCAAATGCTACATCGCGGTTTGAATTTCACATTGTTGAATTTCGCATTTCACATTGTTCACGTTGCGTGCGGCTTTACTGCCAAGCAAGCTGACGCAATAGTCAAATACACTCTGTTAAGTGGTTCTCTCATGTGTACCGCTGGAAAGTCTGATTCATTTTAGTGAATCAATTCATTTGGGAAGAGATTTTAAGAAACAGTTGACTGATTCACTGATTTTAGTCACTTAAGTAGCTTCCATGTAGATAGGTAGTAATGTAAGTAGTCTCATATATACCGCTGGAAAGTCTGAATCATTTTGGTGAATCAGTTCATCGGGGAAGAGATTTTAGGAAACAATTCACTGATTCGAGTCCCTTAAGTATGTAGTCAGTGAGTCAGTAATGTAGCTAATCTCATATGCACCGCTGGAAAGTCTGTTTCATTTTGGTGAATCAATTAGTTTGGTAAGATATTTTAAGAATCAGTTCACTGATTCGAGTTACTTAAAAGGTTAGTTCACCCTAAAATGAAAATTCTGTCATTAATTACTCACCCTCGTGTTGTTCGAAACCCGTAAGACCTCCGTTCATTTTTGGAACACAATTTAAGATATTTTTGATGAAATATGAGGGCTCTCTGACCCTCCCATATACAGCCAGGTAACTACCACGTTCAAGGTCCAGAAAAGTACCAAGATGATCGATAAAGTAGTCCGTGTGACATCAGTGGTTCAACTGTAAATTTACGAAGCTACGAGAATACTTTTTTGTGCACTTGTGGACGCGTGTTCACGACAGTATCATTATCCTTTTCTGGACCTTGAACGTGGTAGTTACCTTGCTGTCTATGGGAGGGTCAGAGAGCCCTCAGATTTAATCAAAAATATCTTAAATTGTGTTCCGAAGATGAATGAAGGTCTTACGGATTTCGAACAACACGAGGGTGAGTAATTAATGACAGGACTTTCATTTTTGGGTGAACTAACCCTTTAAGTAGCTTCCATGTAGTTAGGTTGTCTGTACTGTAGTGTAGCTCATCTCATATGTACCACTGGACAGTCTGATTCATTTTAGTTATTCAGTTTATTTGGGAAGAGATTTTAAGAAACAGTTCACTGATTTGAATCACTTAAGTAGCATCCATGTAATTAGACTGTAACTGTAGTTAATCACAGATGTACTGCTGGAAAGTCTGATTCATTTTGGTGAATCATATAGTTTGGGGAGATATTTTAAGAAACAATTCACTGATTCAATTTATTTAAACAGCTTCCATGTTGTTAGGTTGTCTGTAGTGTAGCTAATCTCATATCTACTGCTGGAAAGTCTGATTCATTTTGGTTGAATCAGTTAGTTTGGTAATATATTTTAAGAAACAATTCACTGATTTGAGTTACTGTGTAAGGCCCAGCTTGGAAGAGCTCTCCCTGATTGCAATGACTCTCCCAACCTCTAGTTGGCACTAACTAGTAACACTCCCCATCATTTTGCTTACACTGGTTCTATGCAATAACACTCCTAGCCACTAGGTGGCCCTAGCTTCTGTTGATAGATAACATCACTACTCATTAGGACTTGAATGCCCCCAGCCGTGTGTCTTTACCCAATTAATGTTGGCCTATTTAAGCATGCCCCATTTGCTCTCCTGTGTTCAGTCTTGAGCCTATTACGCCTGTGTTTCCTCACCCCCTAAGCTAGTTTATTGAGATTTTGGATTTTGTCTTTTGCTCATCTTTTATTTCTTGCATTTTTCTATGGAAGCACGGCTTCCCTTTTGTTGTACGTTTGAACTTGGACTGCTCCAGTAAAACTTTTGTTCAATTATCTAAGTCTCTCTGTTATGCCTCAGCCCTTGGATCCCTCTGTTGACTGTCATCCACTATAGCACAGTGGTAGAGGAGACAGCTCAGTTGCCTAGCGGACCCGAGTTCGAATCCCACCTCAGACACCCATCACATACTGTTAGAAAACACTCTGTCTTTGTTGATTCCAGACATGCCTCACCCCTCCTTTTTTTCCCCTCTCTCTGAATCCCCCCTCCTGTATCCATTTCTCTCTCTTGTATTATGTTTTAAATATCTCTTACTCATATGCGAGGTATGCATGCTTAAATGTATACATTAGCTTCTCTTGGTTCAAATGTCCCAAATAAGGACATGATAGCTAGGAATGAGGTTCGTGATGAAACTCTGAAGACAGTTCAGCATTCTTCGCAAAAGTCTATTCCTAATATGTCCATGTTTTTCTGTACATGTGGCCATTTTATATAAACACATGTTCTTGGCCAAAGAGCCTATGTGTATGTTATTCATATCCTCATTGGTTAAGAGGGTGAAACTCCCCTCGACATATGCCTATATAATATCTGTATTTCTATGAATAAATTGAAGTATTGAGGATACATTTGACTGTGTGTTTTCTTACTTCCCGGCCGTCTATTTACACTTTGGGAGACTGAGAAGATTTCACGGTGGCAAAGAGAATTTACAGAGGGACCAATTGTTATTCTTTATTAACAGTTACTTAAATAGGTTCCATGTAGTTAGGTTGTCTGTTGTGTAGCTAATCTCATATGTACCCCTGGAAAGTGATTCATTTTAGTGAATCAGTTTGGGAAGAGATTTTAGGAAACAGTTCACTGATTCACTGATTTGAATCACTTAAGCAGCTTCCATGTAGTTAGCTAGACTGTAAGTGTAGCTCATCTCAGATGTACTGCTGGAAAGTCTTATTCATTTTAAAGTATCAGTTTGTTTGGGAAGATATTTTAAGAAACAGTTCACTGATTCGAGTCCCCTAAGTAGCTTCAATGTAGTTAGCTAGTCAGTAATATAGCTAATCTCATATGTACCACTGGAAAGTCTGATTTAGTTTATTTGGCAAGAGATTTGAAGCAGCAGTTCACTTATTCACTGATTTGAATCACTTAAGCAGCTTCCATGTAGTTAGCTAGTCTGTAGTGTAACTTTTCTCATATGTACCATTTGAAAGTTTGATTCATTTGCATAAGGCATATTTCATGTATCTATTGTTATCAGATCAGTTTCTTAAAGGGGTCATATGATGCTATTTTAAAGATCATTATTTTGTGTATTTGGTATAACAGAATATGTTGACATGCTTTAATGTTCAAAAAACACATTATTTTTCAAATACTGTACATTATTGTAGGTCCTCTATGCCCCGCCTCTCTCAAACACGTCGTTTTCAACAAAGTCCTCTCCTTTGACAAGCACAGTCTGCTCTGATTGGCCAGCTGACCCAGTGCATTGTGATTGGCCGAACACCACAAGCACGCGTCGGAAATGTAACGCCCCTTACCATAATCGCGAGCTTCATCTTTCAAAGTAAATATCAAGACAGTTAATAATGTCGTTAGTTTTACCATCAGTTCAAGCCCGAAAGGGCAACAGAGTCGCGTGACAGACACAGTGATGATGCAGTACACAAGCCGCGGTTAAGACAGTTGACGTGCTATGATTTCTGACAGACAGTTCACTCTCCTGTGAAGTGACCCTGTTCCCCTCACACTCACACACACACACACATTACAGATCTTCTTTATCCACCAAGAGCTTGTAACACTCCAAAGAGAAAGGAAAACTTGAAATCGCACCATATGACCCCTTTAAGTAGAGCTGACTCTAGATCAACAGCCAGAGATTACCAGAAATTAACAAATTCAACCAATGACCCTCACCAAAAAAAGTTAATCCCTCAAGCAAATGGTGTCTTAGGTAGTAAAAGTTTCATAAATGGACCATAATTCCAATCTGGAAGCACTGCTTTACTCTGACATCAACCAACATTTGATACCATAATTAATCATCTTCTTTCGTAAGAATACTTGCGATAGATCTCACATGCCACACCTAACAAACAAAGGTGCGCTATATATAGAGGCGTGCTAAAAAGTTTGTTTTAGCAGAATGTTTCACTGACATGTTATGCTAGTAGCTGTGGACTTCATACTGACACCTATGGGCGTGGATGTATCATGCAAACAAAAGAGTTTTGCCATTGACAAAATATCAAACCTGCTCCTGTCTATTTATCACACACAATTATAATATGACTTCAGAAATTTGAAGCTTATTATTTTATAAAAAAACTTTATTTATTTATTAAATGTTAATTCTTATGTTAAAAAGTGTGTGTTACTAAAGCTCTTTGAATCATCAATCTACATTGGTTTTAAGGTTTTTGGTGTTGTGTTGTCATATAACTTCACACAGAAAAGGTTAAGAGAGAGAGAACCTTTCATATTTGGGTGGAAAGAGAAAGGAAGACTGCATGTTTATGACCTGTAGGTTCCTGTAGTGAACTGTACTCCGACAGTGTGACGTCTTGGCTGTTTGTTCACTGGTGTAAAACAAACCACACAGGTTGCAATAAAATCCTGTCCTTGGCACGATGAACTCCACGCCTGCCAAAAACAACACAACCAGACAGAAATCAGAACAACACCAAACAAATACATTTTCATATATGTCTCTGTGAGTGTGTGCAGGGGTGTAAAGTCAGCTGTGAAGGAATCTAGTGTGTTAGCTGTGTGGTAATGAGTACACAAGCTTGGGCCTCGAGGGTACAATTCACACCTCACTCAGCAGGATGACAAATGCTCCACTGACATCAGCTGGCCTTAAAGGCTTCAGTCACCCACTGAGAGCCCACATCACTGCCTGAGCCGTTCATTAGTGCTGCTCGTGCAGCAAAGCGTGGCTATTACTATTGCTCATACTTTCTTCTTCCTGACCAAATGGTACTTGCGGTGTTTAGCTCGACCCTTATGAACTCTGGTGGACGTACCTAACGGTATGCTGTGTTCACTGATGGCTTTCTCCTGCTCCTGAGAGGGTGACGCAGTAAAGATGTCTGTCACCTGAGGTGAAGGGGCCGGTAATGACTCAGGAATATCTGGAATAGATGAACAGGTTGAATGAAATGCTTTAGTGTTTGTTGTGTATCATTGATCTGAGAAGTACATGTTTTTGTATCTACAGCTTGTAAATCACATTAAACTGCCACTAAATGTTCGAAAAAAAAACCTTGGAGTTGTGATTGATGATCAGCTGACTTTCTCAGACCACATTGCTAAAACTGTCCGGTCCTGCAGATTTGCTTTATTCAACATCAAGAAGATCAGGCCCTTTCTTTCAGAACATGCTTCACAACTCCTTGTTCAAGCTCTTGTTCTGTCCAGGCTGGACTATTGTAATGCTCTCTTGGCAGGTCTTCTAGCCAGTTCTATCAAACCTTTACAATTAATCCAGAACGCAGCAGCAAGATTACATTTTAATGAGCCGAAAAGAACGCACGTCACACCTCTGTTTATCAATTTGCACTGGCTACCAATAGCTGCTTGCATAAAATTCAAGGCATTGATGTTTGCCTACAAAATCACTACTGGCTCTGCACCCCTTTACCTAAATTCATCACTTCAGACTTATGTGCCTCTAGAAGCTTGAGTTCTGCAAGTGAAAGTCGCTTTATTGTGCTATCCCAAAGAAGCACAAAATCACTTTCACGGACTTTTAAATTAAATGTCCCCTCCTGGTGGAATGACCTGCCCAACTCAGTCCGAATCCTTAACCATCTTCAAGAATCGGCTAAAACACATCTCTTCCATCTTTATTTGACCCTCTAACTCTAGCACTGTCTATTCTAATTCTATTCTTTATAAAAAAACAAACAAACAAAAACTTGACCTTTTTAGACTTACACTCTATTTACTAACTGCTTGTTTTCTTTTTAAAAAAACTAACACTTGCTTCTTTTTGTATTCTATCTATTTGTTTTCTTTTTATTTATTATACAATTAACAAAAGCAAAAAAGGCCTTGAACACTAGCTTGCTCTATTCTTTTTCTATTGTATCTGTTTTCTTTTTATTTATTATATGATTTAAAAAAAACCTTGCTACGTGTACTGCGTTAAGCTAACCGTGACTTTATATAGCACTTACATATTATTGCACTTTTGTTGATTTTGATTGCTTTCATTATCCTCATTTGTAAGTGGCTTTGGATAAAAGTGTCTGCTATATGTCTAAATGTAAATGTAAACCAACTAAAGTCAGTTGTGGGTACCTTTCTTCTGACTGTCAAGTTTGAGACATGGTTCCTTCTTGTCCATCTCTGCCGTCTTTCTCTCATCATTACTCAAGTCATTCACTTTCCCACTTTCACATGTGTTGCTGTTGTTTAGAGGACCAGCTGGCATGGTTGTGTCGATGTGTGTGTCCATATGAGTGATGGAGCAGGTCTCCTCCAAAGCACTCTTGAACTCCTGGGACGGGAAGCGTTTGAGTTGACAGACCGGTTGCTCTGGGGCAGATGGTCTTAGGGGCGTCTCACCAGGCCTGGACTGAGCACCTCCAGAGCTTTCCTCAGGGACCAAATCCTGCAGTGGAAGGGACAGAGGGTCCACCGTGCTCTCCTCACCTTCTGTTGGGGTCTTCGTGATTGGTTTAGGGCTCTCTGCTGTCGACTGGCTGGGCTCGACTCTCTGGTCCTCCTCGTGAAGATCAGGTAGATCAGGTTCAACTATAGAGTCGTCCTCTCCTCCGACTTCATCTACAGTCACCAGTTCCTCCATGCTTTTAGGATACCAGCTCTCCTCCTCTCCATCATCTACACTTTCCAGTCCCTGAAAGCCAGGAAACATTAGAAACTAATACTTTTATTCAGCAAGGATGCAACAAATTGATCAAAAGTGACAGTAAAGACTTTTATAATGTTACAAAATATTTCTAGTTCAAATAAATGCTGTAAATACAAGAATCCTAAAAAAAAAATTATCAAGGTTTCCACAAAAATATGAAGCAGCACAACTGTTTTAAACATTGATAATAATATTAAATATTTATTGAGTAGCAAATCAGCATATTAGAATGATTTCTGAAGGATCATGTGACACTGAAGACTGGAGTAATGATGCTGATAATTCAGCTTTACATCACAGGAATAAATTACATTTTAGAATATATTAAACAAGAAAATGGTTATTTTAATTTGTACAATTATTTCACAATATTAGTGTTTTTACTGAATATTTTTTTACATTTCCGAAAGCAAAAATGCGTTTGAATGAATGTTTACCTCGCTGTCACCATCTCTGCCACACTTTGAAGACTGTGCAGGTTTGCTGTTATGAGGAGATGCTGATCTTTCTTTGGCTCTATATTCTTCCTTCTGTAATATGTAAAAAAAAAACAGCGCTATTAAAATATTGTCTATGCAGGCACATAATATAATATAATATAATATTACAATAATATAATATAAAAATAAATTCTTTAAATATTTACAATATTTATCAAAGTTTATATATTTTAAATAATATATAATATTAAAATAAAATAATAATATAAAGATATAAAATGCATGAAGTAAACGATACTATATTTTATATTTTGAATATTTGTTTAATATTCTTAACTCTAAGAATGACTTCAATTTTGTGATTCAGAACATTATACACAGTATTACAGTTGTCTTGTTTTTCAAATGTGTAGGACATGCCTGATTTTCGGACTCTTTCTCCTCTTTATCTTGTCTCCGGCTCGGCTTCTTGCTGCGTCCTCTGTCTTCAGCTGTCCGGTTGGAGTTTGTGTCGTCCGTCACGTCTGACTCTGAGTGTCGGTGTCTGTGATAGTCGCCACCTTCCCTTCTCTTCGTTTTCCCCTCGTGTCTCTGATGTTGCAGCCTGCTCAGTTTATCAGTCTTGTACTGCGAGTCTTTCTTGTAAAAGTCATCTATGGAGTGGTAGGAGGAGAAGGACAAACCCTGAGGGCTTCCGCGGGGATACCAGTCCCTGCCCCGCTCGTCCCCGGGCCCCATACGGTCCCCGGTTTTAAGGTAGGGTTTCCTGCGCTCAGACAGCCATCCGTTGGGTCTCTCTTCCTCGTCGTTCCTCCAGTCGTCTCTCTCGCGGGGGTCCTCATCGCCACGGGAATGGGACGTCCAGTCCCAAGAGGCCCGGCGGGGACCCATGCCGTTGCTCCAGTCAGGCCGACAGGACGGCCCCGGTGGACTGTGGGCGGAGCTACAGGAAGTGAAGCTCGGACTGTGTGAGCGCGGACTCAGAGAACGACTGACTGGACTGCGTGATCTGGCACGCTCCGGCAGGTACCTGCACAAAACAGCAGCAGATTTGGGAGAATGATAAAGAAAAGGAAAAATCTTTAAAAATTAATACCGAAAACACATGTGGCAAAGTTCTTAGAAATGTGCTCTTTGTCAGGTTTATTGTTTTGAAAAGCTTTTATACCATTTTGAAAAAAAGTTCAACTTTAATGATGTCATGTGGTGCAACCATCAAGTAAAAATAAATCATTTTTAACCTTGAATACATGTGATTGTACACATCTTAATCATGATTTTTAAAAAGGTGATAATATAAATATATTTTTTAATGATTTTTTTTTTTACAAATACCAGGAATTTTTAATTCATAAATATCATTCCATTTTTTTGAGAAGATGCACCACGTCATTTTACTAACCTTGCCTTGTTCTGAAAAAGTCAAATGATCTGATATCAAGAAACTCTGAAATATTATATAATATTATAAATACAATAAATATTATATAACCAATACAACTATTTTTAAATGTTATTTTTCCATTTTCACTTTAAAAATGAATAAAATTCTATATCTAAGTATTCTATATCTACTATATTTAAGTATCTAACATTAAAAAAATAAGTAATTTTAGCTAATTAATCTATATTATACCTAAAATAGAACATTGAAATATAGTTAATAATTCTATATTATCACACAGTCATGAAGGTGTGCAGGGGTCATCTCTGTGATGCCATTTCCTTTTTAATGTTTTTGTTTTCTGCGTGTTGGTCACACCACATGACTTAGATTTGCAAGACATATAAAATATTATTTATATTATGTAAAATATAATAATAATATACAATTGTGAATAATAATAATAATAATAATAAAGTAAAAGATTATGCCAAACTACTTAATAATATTGTTTTCTTCTTTATGTTGTGAGGACAGTTTCATCACCCCCCTACTGCTGCTGAAATACAACATTTCCCTAGCATTGCCAAAAAACAATGCCCACACCAGGGCCCATGGGCCAAAGTTGGCCCGTGATGACCTTTGATTGTGGCCATGCCATATCACAAGAGGAAAGAAGAAGAAGAAATACGGCACTGAATTATAATTTAATTTCTAAGTTACATATATATGTAATGTATATTGAAATGTAAAAAAACTATGTAAGTGACCTTCAAAAATGTATTTATATATATATTTATTTATAATAATTATATTATTAAAAAGGCATTTAATACGTTTGAATAATATAGTAGGATATAATATTATATTCACTTTTAGCCTACTGTCCTCAATCAAGTTTTATTTTTGGCCCTTCATAATAAAAAGTTTGGGAACCTAACATACTTCATCAGGTTGAAATGTATTATTTACAACCGAGTCTGAAAAACAAAAAAAATCCTGAAGCGTACTTAAAAACTAAAACCTGATCTGAAAACAAGAGATATTACTGTGGGATATCATAAATATCTCATAAAATTAACCCATGTTTTATTTATTCATTAAATAAACATCTCTCTCTCTCTCTCTCTCTCTCTCTCTATATATATATATATATATATAATTAATCCATGCTATAATATAACATTTTAAATGTTATGTTTCAACAATGTAAAAACTACATAAAGTCTCTAAATGGTAAATTTAGCGAATTAATCTATATTATAACTAAAATCTAAATAGATAATAAAAAGTTAAGGATAATTCTATATAATTTTACTATACTATAATTTAAAGATCCTAGAAAGGATTTAAAATGTCATTTTATCCTATTAATCTACACTGCCTTTCAAAAGTTTGTGGTCAGAAATATTTTCATGTTTTTGAAAAGTTTCTTCTGCTCATCAAGGCTGTATTCATTTAACCAAAGATACAGTAAAAACAGTAATATTGTGAAATGTTATTACAATTTAAACTACCTGTTTTTAAAATTAAAAGCCATTACTCCAGTCACATAATAAGAAATTATTCGAGTTGCGCAGCTTCATATTTCCATTGGAATTTTTTTTTGTCAGATTATTTAATGAACAGAAAACGCAAAATACCAGCATTTTTTTAAATAGGCATTATATATATTATAGAATTTTAACATTTAACATGATAAATGTCTTTACTGAGACTTTATCAATTGTATGCATTCTTTCTGAATAAAAGTTTTCATCTCTTGCAAAAAAATTAATTCTTACTTACGCCAAACTTTTATGGTAGCATATATTATACCTGTACCACAATATGAATTAAATAATGTATATTATTCTACAGGAAATGTAATTTAAAAATGTAAATTTCAGACTACCTTTTTATACCTGTACGTATAGCAAAATTGAAATACTCTAAAAAGCATGTAAAATTAAATTTCCATGACAGTAATATAAGCTACAGTGAGGTGGGATGTGTACCGGGAGTTTTTCACATGAAGGTGGCAGGATTTGATTGACAGCAGCAAGTGTGAGAGCACAGGGTCACACATGAGCACAGGGTCAGAGTCGAGGGGCAGGGTTTACACTGCAATTTACACACCATAGGAGGAGTATTATAGTGTAAGCACCACAGAGATCCACAGAGTGTGTGAGAACCGAATAATTATCATGACTGCCGAACGTGAGAATGAAAGCAGTGAAACTCGTGACGTTCCTGTCATCCGTGTAAATGATTCAACCGTCGGACTCGGACCGGACCTCAAAACGGTGCCGAAAAGGCACAGAATGTGACAACCATTTGCAAATTCAAAGACTTAAACCTATGTTAATCTAGACATGGTTGATTTCTGGGTTTATCTGCGGCTGGCCGCTGACCGACTCTAACAGTCTGAGCTGAGCTCGTGATAATTCTATGAATGGCTTCCTGCCAGACTTTCCCTTTGGCCAAATGTGCCAAAAAAGGTCCCATTAGGTCTACCTCCATAAACACATACCAAAATAGACTGCCAAACAGGCTGTTTATGCCTCTGCTATATGCTATACAAGTCAGCGTTTAACTGTGAATGGCTTCTGTGTGCTGGCCTAGTAAAATGCAACACCAGTGTTTTGGAGTTCGTTCAGCTTATTGTAGGCAGTTGAAGATTGTTGAGTGGCTCGATGTCCTGGTAATGAAGGTGATTATGTTGAAATGCTGGGTGAAACATAACTCTGGCAGTGCAGTGAAACCCTGAGGGGCTGTGGCTGCTGCTGATTGGCCGGCATGGAATGCCAATCAAAAGAAGATTTTTTTGTGATTGGTCTACCAAAGCACCAAAGTAGCTAAAAAAAAAAAACAGTACAAAGCTGTCACTGAGGCCGTACCCTAAGATACAAAAGCTAAAAGTTACACGTGTACCTTATTTACCCCTAAATGGTACAAATTAGTACCTTTTGAAAGGTTACTGCATCAGTATTGTACATATTTTGTAGAAATTGTTGCAAACATAATGAGTCTTTCAAACAGGTTTCCCCAATCACATTTTCCTTCTGTTACTGGTTGGTCAAACAGATAGCCACACCCCCAAACTCGTGCCATTGGTTGAGTCAGTGTTGCTATGCTCGGCTGGTCGGGATTCGTAAACAAACAGAGCAATGTTTTGAAAGCATGACAGTGTAAAGAGTGGCTTCAAAGGCCCATTTTGATGGAAAATCAACCTACAAAGTTGTCTCTGGTTATTAAGTTGTAGTGTTATTTTATTACCGAGATTTATAAAAGAGCATTATACCTTTTATTAATATTTTGAAGTATTTTATTTTCAGTTTTCATTTTAATTTTAGTTAAAGTTTTAGTCATTTATTTATTTATTTATTTTTTTTCTAGATAATTTCAGTTTTAATTGTAGTTATTTTTGAACATCAACTTAAACATTAAATGAAAATGAAGAATACTGCCTTGGCTAGCTTAAATAAAATAATAAAATTTCCGACTTTTATACTTTATTTTGGTTAACATTTATTTTATTTTAAGTAAGAAAATGTTTGTTATGGACACTCTTAGTTAACTAAAATAAGCCTAAGTTGTGATAAAGTTAAGTTGTGATAAAGCATTTTAACACTAATAAAGATGAGAAATAACTAGGTATCGGAGACTATAACTGTTAAATGTCTTCTGTATAATTTCTATATAATATAATTGCTAACATAATTTATGTGGAAAATCAAAATAACATATTATTTTGAATAAGTCTGACACGTGACGTTATGGGACAGTGACATGACTTTAATTAATTAATTAATTTTATTTTCTATTTTTATTTTATTTCGATGTGCTAGCAGTGTCAAGGTCGTGGGTTTAACAAACTGCTTTGGATAAAATGCATAAATACAATTTCAATCCAGATTTTTTTTATGCAATATCCTAAAATTTGCATAAAAATATATACAATGAATAGAAATTGGCATAGAAACAATTTTCACTCAGAAATTACTAGAAAATTTTACAAACAGTTACAAAGAAATGACAAGTAACACTGAAATTAGTCGTTCAATTTTCAAGTTGAAAAACTGAAACAGTATTTCCTTATAAAACATACTCCAATTATCTACAATTTACAACTAATAAATACAACTAGTGTTACGATATGTAACATATATGATGTTCATTATTACCAGTAAATTGTAACTGAAGTTTCCACAAAGCAAAAATATTTTTCAGTCACCATTTCTTTGGTTATAAAAATGTATTGGTACTTTGATTACATCTTTTTTTATGTTACTGTAACAGAATGCAGTAGTGTTGTATTATGGATGTCACATTTGGCAAGAAATTAAGAGATTTGTCATGAGCACATCATAAATTAGGAGAACGAAAGGCATTCTCTTTGGAGATCTAGCGATGATGGGCACCATATCACGCTACAGATACATCTGTTCGCTTATCTAGAGAGGGTTTAAACTGCTTTACACGGGCCCTGAAACAGGTTCATCTGAAATCTATAGCATGCACTTTCTGAATTTTATATATCTCATGGCATTCCCCCTGTCAGGAAGCCTTTATCCCCCAAAGATCAGGTTACGATTCTGCGGACTGAAACTGAATTCCACAGAGCCTTTAAAGAATCTTGGAACACATCACACACTTCTCGATTACTTGGCCGGATCGGTCAAAACCCTGAATTTCTTTGTGTACTGATTTTTGAAACAAGAGTCTGAATCTGTGCATCCTTTCACACGATAATCGGAAAACTAAAAGAATTATAAAAGCACCGCTGATGTACAGCTGCTGTAAAACAGGTGGGTTTAATAGGAGCTAACCTTAGCCTATGCCTCTCCAGCGGACTAAATCATAAATAACTTGGCTAAAAAGACCACCGTAAAGAATCTTTGTGCAAGTCTCTGAATCCACAAGCTGGCAACCGCATAAAATACCGTCCTGCACAGGACATGGTTTCAATTATAGGTGGCAGACATCTGTGCAAGGTCAGAGCATCTAATCTGAAACAATGCTTCACGCCGTCCATATGTGACGACCCATCAGTCGCACTCAGACTCACATTACTATAGTTCACGCAAACAAAGAACAAGCATGAGAGGTGAAATAAACAGAAGACAAACCGATGACAAGAATAATGTCGAAGAAGTGCATTATAACAATGAATAAAATACATATTTAGAAACTATAATAATATAATGTAATATAATATAATTGTCACAACCACATGGACTTTGTTTTCCCTTTTGCACCGTTTACATTCATTGTGTTAACTATGTCATGTGGTTTAGGTGTGTCTTGTTAATTTTCCTTGTTTGGTTGTGTGTTCAGTTTTCAGTGTTTAGTTTTAGTTTGTCCGGTCTTGAGTTGTTAATGTCTGCGTGTGTGCTACCTGTATGTTGGATTACCCTTGTTAGAATAAAGACTATTGATATAACCTTCTTCATCTTCATGCGCTCATTATCACAGTGTAGCCAATAATATAATATAATATAATATAATATAATATAATATAATATATATATATATATATATATATGGATACATTAATAACATATATAAGGATGCATTCAATTTATCGAAAGTGACAGTAAAGACATTAATAATGTTACAAAATATTTCTGTTTCAAATAAATTCTGTTCTTTTGAACTGTCTATTCATCAAAGGATCCTGAAAAAAATGTATTACAGTTTCTACAAAAATATTACGCAGCACATCTGTTTCAACATTGATGGGAAGAAATGCTTCTTAAACAGCTTTAACATGCAGGAATAAATTATATTTGAAAACATTTTTTTTCTTCATATTTTCAATTGCAGTATTATTTCACAATACTGTTTTAATTTAATGTAAATTGTTGTCTTGGTGAGCCAATAAGCGTGCGTTCACACTGCCGCCGTCGAGAGCGTCAAAGTGGCCGGAAGTCATTCATTTTCAATGTGAGCCGGCGTCGAGCAGCGGTGTTATTATGCGTGAAACACGGTGTCTGAGATTGTTGGTGTTCCTGGTGAGTTGCTGATGTGCATTAACGTTATAGGAATAATAATCTAATAACATAATAAATAATAGTATACTAGTCCCAGTTCACTTTTAAACCTTTAAATGAATTTTCCTGATTATACTTACATTAAGTAATGTTCATACCTGATTATACTTACTTAAGTATAATCTTAAAGCAGGACTTTTACTTAAGACTTTTTACAGTGTGGTATTAGTGCTTTATACATTATTAGGTAAAGGATCTTAATACTTATCGACAACCACATATCCACAACAATATTTACAGAGGTTAACTTATAACATTACCCTCCTTGTGGTCAGTCTGCACAAGATCAACAAGTTGTTTGCTTTGCAGCCCCTTTAAATACAAGACAAGCATTCGATCTACGTCAGAGCGTCCACAAATCTTTCTACAGCATTGTTGGCAGGGCGGCCAGAGCGATTTTTGACATTCTAGACGGTGGCGGTGTGAACGCACAATAAGACTTCTTTCAAAAGCATAAACATTTTTTTACAACCCCAAACTTGTGTTATAATGCACTGCACTTAGTCCAAGTATAATTATCATTAATCAAGTAATTATTATAATTATTATTATTATTATGACTGTAAACTGCGATTATAAGGCATATAACATTTTCCATCCCCAAATGGCATAACAATGATTCTCTCATGAAAATGATAACTCCGTTTCAGTCTGCTTTGGTTTGCTACACTAAACTTAAATATGCAAGTCATTATTATTATTATTATAATTATTATTATAACTTTTTAAATAAGACAGAATAATGCAAAAATACTATTAATTCTAAAATCATATGATTATTAAATAAAAATAATAATTTAATATTAATTAGTAACATTTGCTAGATAAAAGCTGGTTTTGGCGAGTACATAAATAACGTGGAATTACAGGCAATTTGGCCAGTAACATTTATTTATTTTAGAAATTACAACAAAATAGAGTGCAATAACTACAGTCAAACTCACACTGATGTAAGAGATTCAAATCAATAACCCATTTACTGAAGAAAATCTCAGTGGAATGTTTACCATCAGTTTTTTTAGCTGGAAAGCAAACCAAAATAAATAAATAAATAAATAAAATCTCTTTTTGCCTTAACTTCAAAAATCAAAACCAAAAGCAAAACGGGTGGTTTTGTGTCATGTCATGTTTCACTGAGAGATTGTATATATTGCTACAACTGACAGCAATGATCAGAGCTATTTTTTATGAAAGAAAAATGTTATATATATTTTTTGTCATTAAATACATTATTAAAAATTAAATAGGACAAGATCTGTCTAGCCTGATGCATTCCCACCTTATTACAACAGCATGACAGCATAACTACCTGAACCGAGTGTGATCGGCACCTATTGATTTAGCTGAAAAATGCAGTTGTGCTGGAAAGTTTTCAAAGCTATATACTCACAACTCTTGATACAGAAACAATCCCATATTGCTACCATACTAAATTCTTTACTCGTAATCAGTGACTGAGCCATACAATACTGTTGGCTTCCACCTGCTCTCAACGAGCTCTAGCTGTGAAGATGGCTCAGTTGTCCTTTGAATAATAAACCGTTAGACTGTGATAATAAGCACCAAGTAATCTGTCAGTCAATGAAATAGTGTGACCTAAATATAGCACACTCTGTATCTCAACACTCTTGGCTTCTTTACAAACCCTGTGAGCTAAAGGTGAAAAGAACAACGCTATGAGATAAGCCAACAAACATTCACAAATAAAGACCTCATCAACTAGAGCTAGGTGACATTTTTTAAATTGTACGACTTCTACAATGTTTAAATCATGTTTCTTAAAAAGTCAACACCAAATATCATGTGAATCTTAATAAAAAAGAAAAAAAAGCATCTGTTTAATTGTCTGCCCAATTTTAACATTTACCCCTGCTTGGTGCGAAGTAAATCCCGCCCCTGAGAGAGGACATGACTTCATGGCTGTGGCAGGCAAATATGAAGCTCTTCCAGTTGAAACATCTGTAGAAAACAGGAAACGGCACTTCAGATCCAAATATATGCTTTTATGTAATAAATGTTGACTAATTGTGTAGAATACATCTAATCAGCAAACTGTTCAGCAAATAAACTTCTTTAACAGACCTTGCGATCTTTAACAGACATCTTGCAGACATACGTGTGCTATCTAGGTTGTGTCTTGATAATGCTAGTCAGTGGTTGTATCAGAGAAGTACACTAGTATATAGATGGCCCAAAAGCTAACAACCATGTTATTTCATGGAGTCTAATCTATAAGATGGTTAAAAAGATATCAAAACAAGAAACACATTTAATAAAAATGAGCAGTGAAAAGTTTTTTTGGTCATTTCTGACAAACAAAACAACTGGTGTTAGCACACGTCACTCAGTGTGCCAGTTTGTAGACACTCCACTCCCCCGCCACTGTACTGACAGCCCTAAAAATAGAGTCCTCTAAAATCACGTCCCTGAGCTTTCAGTCTCCTGAATTTTCAGCACTTACACTGTACTACAAATTAGGAGATTTGACTTACCTTGACTGGCAGCTGACGTGTATGCCATAGTGTTACTCAGTGCCATGTTGAGACATCCTTCAGACGATACTGGAAAGTGCACTGCTCCGAGCGTCGGGCTGTGAAGGGACAGCACTGCATTTAGATCCTAAATCCCAGTGCATCTGGTCTGACTATATCTTATGACACAGCTCGAATTCAGGCCATAACTCTCTCTATATGGAAGAAGACTTGTTATAAAATAAATGTGTTTAATACAGAGATTGGCTGTACTTATAAAATGCTTAACAAGAGAATCACAGGCGATGACCGGTACGTAACTCGGATCAAAATAGACCACATACAAACAAGCTCTTTAAAACTATCTTGTTTCTACTCCAAGTTAGCAACTATTACTGTACATGCATCAGAGTTTGATTATCACCATCATAAGACACTTAAAAATACACTGCTCATCAATTGATGAATGTTGTAACATGGTACAAATGGTATTTTCCTTTGTACTCACCTTTCGGTGTAGAGCGAACAGTTCTGCAGATGTAACTTGCCCTTCACATGCTGGTCCCAGTCCTGAAAACAGCACACACACACATACACACACACACACACACACACACGATACGCCTGTCAGATAGACTTCACTATGATCCTTCTCTATGAGAGTGAGATATTCCCCTGGTGTAGCCACATCCTGGGCCAATTAGAAAGCTAGTAGTTCACAGCTAGGGCGAGCAATAATCGAGAACGAATGCGATTATGGCAAACTCTTGCAGAACAACTGCGTTCTCGCCCCCTCTAAACCTGCCTCCAGTCGACACATGCCAGCTGCCACAAAAGCATTCACGCCCTAGTGTAACCAATTACCCCTTTTTAAACAAGTATCACAAAAACCCTCTCAGTTCTGCAGAAATAACTGGAAGAAAACTGTTGCTGCTGTCCAGACAACTGGATCTCAATTCTGTATACTGGAGCTGAGACATCAGGACAGACGTAGATATGGTGCATAGTACATTAGCAGAATTCAAAGCTTATTTGACAAAGCTTCAGCTAGGGCGAGCAATAATCGAGAACGAATGCGATTATGGCAAACTCTTGCAGAACAACTGCGTTCTCGCCCCCTCTAAACCTGCCTCCAGTCGACACATGCCAGCTGCCACAAAAGCATTCACGCCCTAGTGTAACCAATTACCCCTTTTTAAACAAGTATCACAAAAACCCTCTCAGTTCTGCAGAAATAACTGGAAGAAAACTGTTGCTGCTGTCCAGACAACTGGATCTCAATTCTGTATACTGGAGCTGAGACATCAGGACAGACGTAGATATGGTGCATAGTACATTAGCAGAATTCAAAGCTTAGCATAAATTTGGCACATGTAGGGAAAAAAAATTAAGAGCCTTGTAATGTTTGTCTTACAACTATTTGATTCTGTTCAAACCTAGTATTGAGATCCGTCTTTGTTATCTGATCACAAGAAGGATTAAAAACAAGTATGAACAGGGTCCAAAATGTTTTTTGATTCCATCTTGTGTCATCTGATCTCAACTGGACATTGCTAAATAGAGGTAGTAACAGAATTCTAAATTGTGTCTGGTTCAGCCAACATTTGGAGTAGTTGAAAACACATCACATTGGTAGTGTAAATGCTAATCCATCTTTGAGGTTGGTGCGAATGGGCCATTTCCTTTAATCTCAACCAACAAGATCTACTCAACTCACCTTCAGGTTGTAAACCTTCTTCTCACAAATGGTGCATTGATGGGGTAGGTGTAAAGGTGTTGTCCCGTGATAGTCATTGAACTGGTGGGGCTGCAATTGCAAGGTCCCCCTTTCCTCACTCTGGGAAACCTGTGGCTGCTGTTGAAATCCCCCTTGATGCCCAAGGGGTGGGCCAATCCCTGGGCCACATGTTGAGTTGAATTTAGGATCTGCTGTGGGTTCCTCTGGGTTATACAACTCTGCTCTCTGACCCACAAACCCTGGTCCGGGTGGTAGCCAACCACCAGAACCTGTTCCTGTACCTATATCCATCTTCCCCATGTTGATCGGACCTTTCCATTGATCCTTAGAGGCTAATGAGGCTGATCCCAGATTCTGATCCTTGCTTCCTCCCATGAAACATGTTTGTTGTACTGGTGTTTCTGAGGAGTAGAAGTCCCTTTGAAAATGGACATTGTTTCTGGGTTGTGTAGAGGCTCCACCATACTCTCCCCCATCACATGCTTTACTAGTGACCACTGAAGCCCCTCCCAAATATCCAAACTGCAAGCGACGGTCCGTGTCCGTCGAATATGTTCCGGCCTTTTTGCTCAATTCATTGTGCTGACTAGCTTTCTGGTTGGACACCCCACTGTAGTTGGTGGGCCTGATTCCCGTGGGATTTGGGACAAAGCCACCACCAACCAGTTGTCCCAGTGCAGCATTTGGTGGTGGGAAGGCTATGGGTGGAGGTGGAAAGGCCCCACCGTGGGCCTGGGCCATGCTGGAACCCCGAAGATGGTTGAAGAGAGGCTGGGACATGGCCACATTAGAAAGAACCTGATTTAGGACAGTGGCTGCAGCAGCAGTATTGGTAGTCTGGGCAAGTTTGAGGCGGTGTAGGGTGAGCTGGGCCTGAAGCTGAGCCAGCTGAAGACTGGCAGGACTCAGCAGCAGGTTCTGACCCAGTCCACCATGAGCACTAGCCAGAGGAGCAGACTTATTATCAAGCTTTTCTCCTGAGGTACTGTGGAAAGACAAAAAAACAGTTCATCAATTTAATGACCATGATGCATGGGAAACATACACAGTAAAAACTAGACATCAACAAGTAACTATGCAAAGAGTTACATGGGTCACAATTTTAATGAGAGCTCTTAAAACTGAAAGATGTTGTTTTACAAAACCTCAAGGTGCTGAAATGGGTTTTGTCCAATTCAGAAACATTCTTCCTGGCCAGAGATGAGTACAGAAACTCTAGACTCACTGTCCCTGTTTGAGTGGACTGATTAATGCGCTCACATGCTTGCTAAATTTAGCAAGCACTACTATCAATCAAAATATTTGTGCAAGCCTGATACCCCTCTAGCTGAGCACACACCCTCCAAGCCCAGAGCTGACATAAGTGGCAAAGACCCAAGGGAAAGTTGTATTAGTGGTGAAAGAGGGAACAACAATGTTTCTCAAAGGCACAGGCCATGATAATGGGATTTTGTAGTCCTTTAACCTCAGAGGTTTTTTATGAAGTAGATTCCAGGTGTTCTGGTGTTTCAAATACAGGCCAAGGTCATACATGAGCAGTCAAGAAACGAAAGAAAGGGGTCCTTTCAGATCTGAATTTGTGCAACTGAATCTTTTGGTGGGATTAGCACCTCTCCAGAGTACTGCTGGAGTCATTTAAGATTATGACATGGATTTACAGGAGCCTTTCCAGATCATAAAGTTCACACATCAATAACGGCTCTAAATAAGTTATCCCTTCTTTCTTTAGACCAGAAGATAATAAGATAAGAGTTTTTGTCTGTTTTTCTACTCATTACACAGATGTTCATATTTATAACACATATTTTATATTTCTTTATATTTTATATTAAAGATTTGCATGTAGGAGACAGATCATAGTTGCATTCCAATTTACAGCGTTCCTACGCAGTGTTCAATGACTTAAGGGGTAATTTACCTCTCCACTTCCTGTTAAAAGTACGGTAGGTGATTTCGAAGAGGCTAGCAATAGCAAGCTAGCTCTAAAAAAAAAACAAGATCCACCCTCCCTGCAAATTACTCTTCAAAGCTACACCTCCTCCAATACACATGAACGCGCACAGGCAGACCAGAGGCTAACCTGCGACACGATGAGAGACGGCGTTGGTGGAAGATTAAATGCATCGCCGTCACATTACCTTATGTCTCATTCACCGGAGGGAAAACATTACAGTACAAAGTGCGTAATATTACAATAATATCACCTTCCATTCTCGCTCGGTCTGCAATAGCGCACTGGAACGCACTGATGACGTATCATGTCTGCGTGAACAGGGTGCGTGTAGGTATGCAAATACATATGTTCACAGGTAGGTAGGACAGCCTATCGTAGCCCTCGGAGGGATCGAGGGATATGATTGGACGAACATTTTATGGTCCTATGACTTTCACAGATGACATAAATACATATAAATACATTTAGACCACTTAACTTAGTGATTGCTATTGGGATGTGAAGAGACGTTCAACCAGTATAACAAAAAAATGTTTTTGAACCAAATCACCTGCCCAGCCTTTAAGTGATATACTGATAAATTTGCTCCATATGTTGTGTGCAGTGCACTTCAGACCCAGAATGCATGCTCCTTATGATCTTGAGTATCATCTAAGATGGTGGAATACAATTTGAAGAGTTTCACAGGGCACTATTGGCAACTGTAACATACCCCTGGGTGAACATGTAAGAACAAACCAAAATATCTATACACAAATCAAATGGTTGCATCAGTATTTAAAGCATTAGTCTAATGAATATAGAGTTGCAGTGAGAAATTGGCAAACAGGCCACCTCTGTTTCAAGCACTCCTGATATTTATGCAGGGATATAGTAACTGTCATCTCTCAATGACATTACACAGCAAGAGCTAAGGCTAACCAACTGCTAGAGTTTATACACAGTTAGCCCTACCGCTAATATAATACATGGAAAAAATGTAGGGTGGGATTTTATACTTGAGGGATTGATTGGTTTGGGACAAGTAGACTATCATGAGTGGTTGGAGTTGACTTTAATGTTTCTCAGACCACAAAGAAACATATTTGTGTATTTGTTTCATTGTTGTTAGCATGTAGCTAAGGGTTTATGATGCTTCAAAATGCGCTTTATGTCTTTGTGGACATTAAGAAATGTACATAAAAAAGTTTTATTAGTTATTATTATTATTATTCAGATCACATCTAGTTTTAATATTGGATTGTTGTTAGCACGTTAGCATGTAGCCAAGTGCTTCTTATGACTTGAAAGGAACTTTATATATTTGTGGGCATTAAAATAAATAAATAAATAAAATATTTTTTAATATTAACTTATTTCTCAGACCACAAAGAGATATAGATATTAGTTTCAATAAAGGTTTGTTATTAGCAAGACAGCTTGTAGCCAAGGGCTACTTGTGTTGAGAGGCACTTTATATCTTTGTGGAAACTAAAAGATACAGTTTTATTTTATTGTTATAAGCAGTAGCAGCAGTAAACTGGTACTTAAATATGGGTGTATATTACCAAGTTACTAGACATTAGCCTGGACAACCTGGCATGTGAAATGGCATGCAAAAATGTAATGGAAATCTTGGGCCAAGACACAACATACATACATTGGATTTTATAGTACAACTGGCCTTTGAGACCCAACAGCTGGTCAACTGCAGCATAACACAATTAAGAGTGCAGAAATGGAGCCAACAATGGATTTAAAAAGTCTAGCTTTATGGTTGGCATGCTATAATATGATCTTACACATCGTAAGTGCACGTAAACGCAATGACTGGCTCTCTCAGGTTGGGTTTCAAAAATATTGTAACGTTAGGAGCATGTAAGTAGTGCTTAATACCTAAAGCATATTTGCCAGATTTATTTGTTTAATTGATTCGTTCGACAGATTTGTTTTTCTTCCTCTAAAAACTTTATTTGCACATTGTTAATATGTTGTAGTGTTTCACCAAAAATGATTGATTATCATTGGCAAAGTCAAAACTCTGGATAAACAAACATTTTTGTCTGCAATTTTGCTTGCATAGCTGTGTCATTAAAGAGGACTGCTGAATATTACGGCGGTATCATCCTATCTTCATGACTCAACAGCCCAAAATACACCAGTGACACACAACACACCACGCTCAGCTACCGCCACAAACCAATACTGCTTCCACAGCTGCCCGCTCGCTTCCAAACTCTCATATAAGCAGAGGATCCAGGTGTCAAATGCCCTTCACCAATTAATACAAGCCATGAACACTGACCTTAATTGAGGCAAGTGAGGCCTGCAGTTCTTTAGATGTTGTTCTGGGTTCTTTTATGACCTCTTGGATGAGTCGTCGTTGTGCTCTTGGAGTAATTTTGGTTGGCCGGCAACTCCTGGGAAGGTTCACCATTGTTTTAAGTTTTCTCAATTTGTGGATAATGGCTTTGACCATGGTTCGCTGGAGTCCCAAAGCCTTAGAAATGGCTTTATAATCCTTTCCAGACTGATACATGTGAACTGTTTTGATTCTCATCTGTTCTTGAATTTCTTTAGATCGCGGCATAATGTGTTGCTATTTAAGCATGCTTCACTTTGTCAGACAGGTTCTATTTAAGAGATTTCTCGATTCAACAGGTCTGGCAGTAATCAGGCCTGGGTGTGGCTAGAGAAATTGAACTCAGGTGTGATAAACCACAGTTTTAACAGGGGGGCAAACACTTCTTCACACAGGGCCATGTAGTTTTGGATTTTGTTTTCCCTTAATAATAAAAACCTTCATTTAAAAACTGCATGTTGTGTTTACTTGTGTCATCTTTGACTAATATTTAAATTTGTTTGATGATCTGAAACATTAAAGTGCGACAAACATGCAAAAAAAATAAGAAATCAGGAAGGGGGCCAACACTTTTTCACACCACTGTATATACACAAAGTTTGGGATCAGTTTTTAAAAAAATTAATTAATACTGCAACATTTTATTTAACAGTCCTGTTCCGTGTGTACATTTGTACTTACTATATCAATTACAATAACTATAATAACTTGGTACTAAACCTGAACATACTCTTAAACCTAACCTTAACCCATGTAGTTACCTTATACTACCCAGTCCTTTCTTGGTTAAGTACACTGTAAAAAGAATTCCGTAAAATTTACGGTAAAAAAACGGCAGCTGTGGTTGCCGGAATTTTACCGTAAAAAATACGGTACCAACGTTTTAGGTTTTACGGTTTTAACTTAAATTTACAGTTAAATACCGTAATTTCATTAACTGATATAATGTTAATATACCAACCTATTGAAGTACTGAAATCTGAAAAAAACATCAAATTTGAAATGTAACGCATGGAATTCTGGGAATGTCAATTTACGGTTATTCACTGTAAATTATACGGTCTTTTCACTTCCAAAAACGGTATACTACCGTAAAATTAATGTCTGACACATGTCCAGTTTTTACTGTAGCATTTTTACAGTCTTTTACCATTAAATTCACTGTCATTTTTTACAGTAAGTACATGTACTGTAAAATAAAGTGTAACCATTAATACTTTTATTCTGCAACGATCCATTAAATTGTTCAAATGCATCAGTAAAAATTAAAAAAATGTTACAAAACATTTCTATTTTGAGTAAATGCTGTTCTTTTGAACTTTCTATTCATCACTGAATGTAGAAAAAATGTATCACCATTTCGAACAAAAATATGAAGCAGCATGACTGTTTTCAAGATTGATAATAATAAGAAATGTTTCTTGAGCAGCAAATTAGCATCTTAGAATGATTTCTGAAGGAGCATGCGACACTGAAGACTGGAGTAATCTGAAAATTCAGCTTTTTTCATCACAGGAACAACTATATTCCAATAGAAAACAGTTATTGTAATAATATTTCACAATTTTACTTATTTTTACTGTATTTTTGTTCAAATAAATGCAGCCTTGGTGAACATAAGAGACGAGACTTCTTTCAAAAACATTAAAAAAATATATTTTGAACAGTAGTTCTGCACTCCTCAATCTAC